CAAACTATTGTGAGAGCTCTCTACACAAAAAAGTACTTGTTAGCCAAACTAAGAAGATATTTTTGGTTATGTATCTGTAGAAAAGATTATTTATAAAATGCATACGCCATTTAAATGCAACTGACCAAATTATTGGCACACATTTTTAAAATATCCAGTGGCAGTGCCTGTTTCCTGAGAGAAAGGCATCCTTCCTGCCCACCACGGTATTTTCCAGGTCTCCAACACACATTCTTGCGGGAGAAGGTTGTAGGAAGTTAATTTTTAGAAACTGTTAAGTTGGTGATAAAACATTTCTTTATGGAAGACTACTAACGCACTATGCCAGCCTCACCATGCTAAAAGACAGAGATTACTCTTTGAAGACTTTGTTCTCCAACAACCACTACACCTTCAAGAGAGGAAACTGCGAGGTCAGCAACACAGCTTGCAGTTGGTTTTGACTATCCCTGCAACATGGCTTTGTCCATCCACCTGAGCCTAGATTATGAGACATGGCTAGCTAAAATAATATTAAACAATTTTCATCACTTTTAAGAAAACAGTCGACCAAGTTGAGCCAATAGTTACAAGAAGCATAATTCTGGCTTGTAGTTACAGTCCTAGGGGAATTCTGGAGCAAGTATCTGAGTGGAGGTTTTAAACAGGTATGCCTGATGATGGAATGAAAACACTGTGACTGTACGGCATATTTGGCAAAGACTATGTTAATGCCAGGTTTCTGTCTTCAAAACACATTTCAACCCACCCCCCACAACTTATCTGATTGTAATTTGGTTTTGAAAGAACATGTTTCAAACAGAAAATAAGGGAGATCTCCGAGGTGCATGGAGTGACAGAACACCATGTCACTGTGTTTACACAGAGCAAAACATCACAAGGATTTGAAATAAAATTAATAAATCTCTAAGTACAAAATACAGTTTGTCAGTCTCAACTTGTTTGCTTATGCCTCTGAAGTGCCATTCGAACTGCCTTCAACTAACTTTTCACTAACTCATACCTGCATTGGAAGCATGCATATTTGAATGCAACTAAATAAAGAATTTTAAAATAAAATGAGTCTTAATTCTCACTTTCCAAAATTAGAGCTGTAGTAAAATTTTTAAAAAAATCAACAGTAAGAATATAGAAAAGCATAAAGAAAAACTAAAAGGGCACCAATGATGTAAAGGGTTTTCTTTTTCAAAACTGTTTAGAAAGTGTTCATTCTAAGATAACAATTTATTTAAATATCCTATTCAGCAATTATGAAAGCAACTTCATCCCTCACTGTATTTCCACAAAAATTCACTGATTTTGTGTCAAACTATTCCTAACAATGGCACTTTGTGCTTCTTAAATATTGGGGAAAAGGGATCCACAATGGCATTTCATACAGAATATATCACATGCTGGCTTAATCATGTATGAATCACATCTTCTTCCAACTTAAACATTTAAAGAAGATATAAAATGCCAGTAAGGAATAAAACTGAAAAGTATTATCTAGTTAATTTATTTTTAATTAAATGCTTGTAAAAACGTTCTGGCCAATTATGAGTGAGGTAGAAATATTTCTTTATCAATCTCAAGTCCTATGAGTCTAACATGCATGTCTCTGCAATATAACACTTGTATCACTATACCAGATGCATCCTCAAAAATACTGGCTTCATCTTAAATCATTCAGCCTAAGAAAAGGAGACAGAGCAAATGGAACTGCTTCTGGTAAGGTTAACCTGTTCAGCTGACATTAGGATAAACGTCTTTGAAGACGAGGTTTCTGAAATGAAACTTATAGAAACAATTTCCTTTTAGAGAAAAAACAAGGGAGCTTCTAATCTTTGGTAATTCTAAATTTTAGTTTAAGAAATAAAAGTGGAAATGCTTTTAAAAATGGTCTCAAATGATTCAAATAAAGTTTTTAACATGGAATCATAAAAGCAATATTGATCATTTATATGACATTGAAACAAATCTTTATTTTACAATTAGACAAATGCCATGTAGTTTTACATACCTACAGGTGAATTCACACTTTGCTTGTTACCTTAGGCCACATAAATGTATGCCAGTGATAATACAGTGTGCATGTTAATATGCAAACCACCAAGACCTACCATCTGGAGAGCTAATGAACAATCAAGGGATCCCAAATTAAACTACAGAATTTTCTCTTAGAATCTTTAGGACAACACTGTCAAGTTCAATCTATTCACTTAGCCTCCAGAATCAATTTTTCAAACTTTATGACAGGTCTAATAGTTTCCACCTGTTTCTCTTGCTTGACTTTTGACTGGCACGTTACCAGCCAGGGTGGAAATGCAGACAAAGACCCCTATTAGGCTCCGGCTGTTTCTCTACTGTGAGGTCGCTCAGCCATTAAATTAGTTCCAGCCCACTTTCTCCTTCCATGTCTTCATTTTTGGGGGATATGAAGGTTTGGCAAGTGGAAAGGAAGAAAGACCAAAGTTTGACATTCACTTGGTGGGAAAGGTATAAGAAAATGTGAAGTCATAAAAGTTAAATGTTAAATTTATTTATAAACTTACTAACTAAATTTACTATTAATCACACTAATTAAGTTCTTGAGGTTTCTGTATCATATTTTCAATCATCACAAACTCGGTAATATCTGAGAGACCTAATACAGTCTATCACGTAAGATGTGCTTACTGCAATATATGATTACAGAAACATGGTACTGCCATTTTTTTCTGGGAATCGCAAATGCTTAATAGGTACGTATTTTTTGTTCAAGCAAAGAAACTCCCTTTTCCTGAGATGTGTTTTCCTGTCATTCAGAACCAGCAATTAGAAAAAAAAGTGACATATACATATCCTAACAAATTCATATTGGTTCACTTGGAAGTACTTTAAAAACCTGTCAACTTTTTTCTTCAATAAAAATTACCTATTAGGTATTTGTATCAATTTCTAGTGATTTATAAAAATTTAATCATCTGTGAAGTCTCAAGGAACTTTGTTGAATTGCAAATCCCATGGACTACATGATGGTATGACCCATGGCAAGTATTTACAGTAACATCAACCATAATATTTTAAACAAAGATTTTTAACTTATTAAAAAAAAGGTATTTCTGTAAAATAAATTTAATTATTCAAATTGTAATGTGACTAGGGCCATCTTTCCAGTATAAGCTACTTAGAGCCAGGACTTCTACTTTACATCTTACCTGAAAACTGACTAATCGAGCTGCATCATGACGAGACAAATTTTGAAGAACTACATCTGTAAATACCTTATTACATTTTGGCTACTTAATGTAAAAAAGCAACCTGAGTGCTGACCACTCTGCTGGTACAGCACTTCAGAGACAAAAGAGTCAAAGTTCCACAGTCACTGAAAACCAAGACCACTTCTCGTAGCTCCCTTGCCTTTCTTGATAATATAAATCATATATAAATTGGCCAGACATGATTCTACTTAGCTTGTGATATCTAAATAAGTTTGCAAAACTCTGAATTATATACTTCATCTTACTGAGACACATGAATAATGTTACTGACAACTGACAACCACCACCAAAACCAACTGTCAGAGAAGAAAGGTCTTGACATAATAAATTATCACTTTGTCGGTTTCTTCACAGTACTTCTGCTTTCAATCCAATGGGCTGAACATGTTGTGGATACTAAAAATTAAGCAGCAAATGCTACAAATGCCTCTATAAAATAACTCTTTTCTTTGTGCCTCTTATCAAACCAGCATGTCTGTGTATGTCCAAAGGCCATTGCAAAATCAGTTGCAGGATGATAATGTAGATCTGGGGAAAGGGGAGTGGCAAAATTAGATAGCAACATTTTTTTCAATGTATGTGCACATGAGTCCATATGCACACACAGAGAAGAGTTTGGAATAAAGAGATTTGTCTCTGCTTCCAACTGTCTCTAAATTGCAGTATTTTAGCACAAATTATAATTTTTAAATTCTATCACACTATCAAACTATAAATTGACTTACTTTAATACTGTTCACAGATTTTGTGTGCATATGTTCTAAAACAAATTACCTTTATTACTTGTGAGAGTGCATATTCTGTAACTTCCACTGTTCTCACAATTTAGGCTCTCTAGCTGAGAACTAAAGTTATTATTGCTGGTTAACTAATGAGTTACAATAACATTCAAGGTGACTTAACTGATGATGTTGATAAAAAAACCAAGTCCAAAACAAAATACCTGAGGTTATTTTCAACAGTAAAATTCATCTGCAAATTCTGCAGATAAATTAACACGGATAATCAAAAGTAGCTGTCAAGAAAAGTTACAGCTGCAGGCAGAAACACACATAGAAAAATCTGTCCTGAAGAGCAACAACTTCCCAAACACTTTTTTTTCCATCAGACTGTTTCATGAAACGTAACAGTACAGTCTTTGTACATAAACTCCAACCTAAGATTTAGTAACTGTGATTTTCATATCGCTTAATCCCATTCAAAACTCTAATGAATTACCTTCTCAAAGGTATCCCACAACTCATTCACAAGGGTCATCTATGTGATGATGAAAGAATGTCTAGCATAACCCTAATCAATGCTCAAAAAAACCCCACCAAACCACTGAAGAGCATTTTAGTGAAATATTCGGTAAAAGGAATGAGAGAAAACAATAATGTTAAAATTAAGGCCACAATGTATTTAGCATCACTTTTGTCAAATAACTAGTGTAGAAAATAACTTGTACTAGAAAATTCATGTAACTTCCTAAATAATACTTTAAATTTTCCTATGGTAATATTCATGCTTTGCAAGAGAAATAATGACTAAACGCCACTGCCAAGTAAAAAGTTGTCACACTCAGATGTCCCAATTTTATGACTTAGTATTTTATACATTATAAATTAATACTCTGTGAACACAAAGACCTCTACTTTGTGTCTTGTCTAGAAGATGATATGGGGGGATGGTGGGGTGGTGTTCCACTTTTGTTTGTGTTTTACTATAATTGTGAATTCCAGTTCAGAAAGCTTATTGCATATAGTCTAGATCACTATCTTACCCATCTAGAAGATTCATTGTTGTTGTGGTAACTGCAGCAAAAAGAAGAATCTTTCCAAGCTTCTTTGTTTGAAGATTCTGTTGATATGTCTTCAGGCTGAAATGTTCTGATGAGAAGCTTTCCATCTCAGTGATGACTGGCATGAGAGATGGAGTTATCTCCATTTTTGACTCACAGGATGAAATAAATTTAAGAGACACCTTGCTGGATGCTCTTAATCCTTCAGCATCTACATTTCCCTCAAGCCATTTCAAAAAAGCAAGATGGATTTCCTGCGGGCAAGGAAAATAAAATAAGGCATAAAAATATGGACCACCACATGTAAAGACATAAACACATTCTTCCAAGAACATTTTTATTTAAGCAATCATATTTTAATTCAAAATAGGAAAATTAACTCAATTTTCTCTTCAAAGATCAGCCTCTGCTGCTTGTCCTAGTCCAGCCTGGCTTGACTACACGGTACTCTCTGACCAGACTTGAGACCATGCTCCTTTTCAGATGAATTAGGCTTAATCTAACTTTCCCTAAAACAGGGTTTGTAGTAGCCCTCCTAGATACTGAAGCATGGAATGCACACATTTGCCTGTGTTATGCAGGTTTTTCAACATGCTAAATTTCTTTGCTGGAAGTCTATTAGTCCACCACTAAGGCTTGATTTGAAGGGTAAAACAGCAGCTAAGAAAATAATTTACTGGTATCTCAGAGGAATGGCTGCTACCTTCAGCTAACGGAAGGTTTGCTACTGTTACCTTAAACATAGACAAAAGCGGCTGCTAATTAGCTAGCTAAAAGAGAAGCATTTAACTCAAAAATGCTCACACCTAAGAAAATTCTACTACCACTGTATGTAGTTGTATGTATGCACTGTTGTCCTTGTCCCAGCCAATGATACAACTAGCACACATTTCTGTGCACAACATTTTAAATGCAAAATATACATCCATATATAATTTTATATATCTGCACATCACAACTAGGATTTTTCCCCTCTCTTGTTTTAGGTTATTTAGAAACACTTTTTTTTTTTTTAATGTGAAATGAAGAGATGAATTACTGTGATTATTACCTGTCTGGTGACACCCTGAAACAACTGTTATGCATTCACAGAACTCTTTCTGGAGATATCTAATTCTATTTTGAGAGATTTGATATGAAACATTTACCATGTCTTTAGAAACAGGAAGTTAACAGCCCACGAATACAGATGCTGGGACTTCTTTTTTCTAAGAGTGTAGCTTAGATTTTGAAGAGTTCTCCTTCTAGAGAAAATTGGCCTTTTATGATACACCATACTGCAAAAATTGTGTATTCTATTATACTGAAAATAACGCACCAGTGATTATTGCCCTCAAATTGATAATAGAAAACCATTTGATTTTTAAATAAAACACTTCTAAACAAATATGTGTCTCTTCTTCCCAATACTGTAATTATCTGGGAATCAGAATATGAGCGTTGTCTCCCCGAGTACTAAAGACAGGACTAAGCTCTTTTGCCCTTGAACAAGATGTCCCTGAGCTCCAGCCCAACTCTTTAAAACCCACAAACTGCATTTAAGACCAAATTTCCTACAGTTATCTATCTAAGGAATTATTCCTATTTTCCAAATCCCATTGTTATATCTTAAGAAGGAATGAGAAGAGTGGTCCTGTTCCTAATGCCTTTCTATAGGTTTTCCTCCTCAGAAACTACACATTCTCAAGTTTCACACGGACACTTCTTGTGTGACGTTCTTTGTATGCTGAATGTCAGCAGACTCACTGGTTTGCAGCCCTACAGTACGGGTAGCAGAGCATAACATGACGAAAGGAACAGTCTCTTTCCAAATGCAGCCAGGCACTAGCTTCTAAGCCCCAGGACAATCCAAGAGTGACTCAGTAGCTGAATTTTAGTCACAGAGAAATTACTTTTCATTTCTTGGTTTTCTAAAGCTCCACCTGAACTCTTTCCATCTAACTTCTTGGATAAAATATGCTTCATTTTTTTTTGTTTTGCATATGCATCATAAATGATGATGTGGCATTGAAGGTTTTATGATCATGTCTTTGACTTGATCTGCATGAAGCACTTGTATCTTCACTTAGTGTAAAATCATAGCTTTGACAGATTGCTGCCGAATTCTTTACACACTATCCTACTTGTTTTACACACACAGAGTAACTTACTAAGCTGTAACTGATACTTAGAAAAATTACAGCTTTCATTCTTGTGAGGGAGTATATGGAAACTGTGCTTAATCAGAAAGTGCATTTTCTTACTGCTTTCCAAACAGAAATTCACTTAGTATAACTGAGCGTGCAAGTCCTAGACACAAAAGCATGATTTTAACTCACATAAGGACAAGTTTACAGATTTACAGAAACGAACGTTAAGTTAAAAATTCAAAGTGCTTCATGTATTATTACATTCTAAACAAACAATGAAAGTGCTCAATACTATGTGTCAAAGTCTGGTGTACTTTTGCCCCAGCATACTTTCTGAAAAGACTTTCTGAAATGGCATATATGTGTGTGTGATATTAGATTATTACAAGTATGCCACACAATTCCTACCATGTATCCTCTTGAGTATAGTCCTTCACGTGATTTTATTTCTCATAGTTTTTAGGTTTACTTCTTGATTTAATTTTCTGCTTTCTAACACATAATGAACCATTTAAGAATTGTTACATGTGTATAATTATGAAGCTAATTTTTCCCATAACGTACACTTGTTTATTGAGCTGATCAGAAATATAAACATGAGCAATACATAATGAAGAACAGCATTTGATTTTTTAAAAATTCCTAAAAAATATGGTTTTACATTTTTAACAAGGCAAAGTTTCAAGTGTTGTCCAAGTACATGCTAGAAAAATTACTTTTCACTGGAAGAACCTCCCTCACACGAAGTTACAGAAACACGGATGCTGAACCAATGCATTTCAGTCCCCACAATTATACTGGCAGACAGAGAAGTACATTTTTCTATAATAAAATAAACAGATACAAGGAGTCAGGGTTAACCTCTGCTTCAACTCCGTTTGAAAGGAATATAATCACATCAGAATTTGTCCTGTTGCTAAATTCAGGATTCAGCTTTGAAATCAAACCTCTGCCAGCCTCGTCCGCTGTTCTGCAGCAACCTCTGCTGGCCATTTAAACGAAGAGTGTCGGGTCAGGGGCTGCCTGGTCTTCCATACCCCTGGGACCACATCTGGTGTGTCAAACGAGGGACCCAACACAAGCTAAGGGATACCCAAACTCCTGGCCACCGCTTACCCCGACCATTATCAACACACATGCAGGTATGAGCTTTAAATGAGTCTGCAATCAAAAAAGCTGTAGCTGTTACATACTCAGGCACCACCACCACCATCTGCAGTTACTTACAGAGACAATCACACTAAAATCCATGCAACGCATGTTACCAGTAACGTACTTGGTAAATATAACTATACTTGTTTTAGGGTGGCATAAATACATTCTGAAATCGTTATTCATCATTACTGCACCAGTTTTGGATAGGAGAACTGAAGTCAAGTCAAATTTGATTTCCTATAAAACTGTCCATTTTGCAAATCACATTTTATACGTACCTTCTCCAAAGTGTTGCCTTCTTTCTTCAAAGAAGTATGAAATTTGACATGTCAACCAAGCCACTTGGTGATGAGAGTTAATCAGCTTTTCACAGCTAAAATAATCAACTTCCAATTTAATATTTATATCAAGAATTTTTTCTACCCATATTTTAAATGGTAAAAGCACAATATATTCTCGATGCATTCTAAAAAAACAATCACCAAAAGCAGAAAAGCACTATACCAACAGGAACTACCCACCACTTCTTACTAAGAAATTCTCACTCAGCACTCCAAAGCACAACTTAAATCCTCCCAGGCAGAAGCACGGAGAGAAGAAATTTCGAAGCAGTGACAGCCTCGCTGATCTGGTACCCAGGGATAAACAGATCAACAAGCAGAATTTTGATTGTCAGACCGAAAGTATCACTAAATGAAAAGCTGTTGTGAGTGGGTAGGGAGATACGGTGGATGCTAATTCACAAAATTCACTGATACAGAGAGTTAAGCTACTGCGTACTACATACCCTCCTCCCCTCCACTGATCAGCACAAATGCTTATTAGGGGTGGGTCACTGTATCAAGGATTGGAGGTCTGACATTGCAAGGTGTTGAACAAAAGCTTAAATGATAATGTGAACACAAAGAAGGAAAAATAAAAGCTGTACTTTGTTTACTATTTAACATCTGTTTTCTATGATTTTTAAGCATTTGGTCAGGTGTGTGAAGAAACTGCTACATAAGTTTTCTTTTGTTGTTCGAAATTATTTTTTTTTCCATAACGCTTACTTTATGGTTGAGATTGAAAAAAAAAAAAAAAGAGAAAAGAGGGAGACACAGCAGACAAAAACCAGCTGCATATGCACCCTTCTCTGTTGTGGCGTAAAATAACAGAAAATTACAGGTCCTAATGGAGAAGATTTTATTTGCACCTGGGCTCTATCAACCAATGAGACTTAAGCACAAAGCACATAAACTTTCAGTTATAATAGTTCAAAATAATCCCAAATCCAGGACTTTACTTTTACATTCCATTTATATAGAGAATTTTGAAGTATTTTCTTATTTTTATATGTATGTTCATATCCACACACAGATTTATGTATCTCTCTCACTGGACGTATCTGGGAACTGCTCTTTTCTACCAAACCCTCTGATGATAGATCTTAAACTCTGTATCAATGGAATTCTTTGTTAAGACAAAATTCAGTCACAGACTAAATTCATTTGGTTTCTATTAAAAACATGGAGGCGAAACTAAATGAAAGCTAAAAATATAATGCCATAAACCAAACAAACATTATACATCAGTCTGCTCTCTCCTTCCTTGGGAGGAAAAATGAGACAGTTTTCACTACTGATGCTCTAACTGATGACTCAATACTGTAACTATTTTAGCTGTTGCTTGTTGAGTAAGTGAGACCACATATTCACTTTCTGGGTACATAGTCTGAACACAGTTTAACAATTTTTCTCCCTTCTTTGCATAAAAAGTAATAATTTCCAAGGAACTACCCTTATTTTTGCCTCACTATACTTCTTTGAAGTTTACAGTTGATGTATTGATTCACATATCAGTTGATGCACTGATGAAAACACATCTGCATATATGTTTATAAACTGCAAATAAGTGAAGATTACGCAGGCATAAGCTATCAGTCTTTTAGAGAACATGAATAGCCCATTTGGAGCATAACCACATTTATAGAC